CCCCAATATGGTTCACCGGCCGCTTCAGCGCTGCAAACGGGAACTCAGCCAGCTCAGCCTCAGTATGGATCAGCCGTGGCTCCACAACAACAACAGCAACAACAACCCTCATCAGAGCAACCTGTTCCTCCTTTTGTCCGTCGTCCACTTTCATTAGAGGAAGTTCCGTTCACAGCATTTTTCAACTTCCCTCTTATGGGACGTGCTTGTCCTTTGGATATATATCTCGACGGAAAGACCCCTACACGTGGAACGGAGCTAACTATCCTTAACAATTGCGAGTTTGATGTAATTATAGGCGGTGTAGAGCTCAAACAAGAAGATATGTATTCTACTTCTTCGAATAGTGGACGAACTGTTCCGACACGTCGTTGGCCGCAGCAGTTCCGTGTGGCTGCCAATGGTGGTCGCGCGACCTGCATCATTGCAATGCATCCAAGTTTTCCCAGGGCTTCTTCTTTATTTATGTTGGTGCTTGTATATGTATTCTCTGATGGACGTTTTACCCCTTATGCAGCCCGTTTTTCTGTTTAGAAAAACAGAGTAATGTGAAGATTATTGAGTTTATTTTTAAACTACTTCATTCTGTTAGTAGAAATGATGTGTAAAAAGGAAATTGTATTCCTTAACTGTGTTGGTTACCAAAGTACTACCCTCGTTACGTGTTTTTCAATTACTTACTACCTATTTCTTTCTTTTTTCTTTTCTTTTTCTCTTTATTGGTTGTTGTTGTTGTTTTCTTTTTTTTTTCTTTGCTTTGCTGAACGATATCCTTATTACTGTAATCATTCCAAATGTATCTGGTGTTAGTTATGGATGTACTCACTATCTCTCTGCTTTTTTTTTCCTAATTCCATTTCAAATCTTTCATTCTTCTATTAATATATTGGTTTAATACTCCACAGTGGGGCAAGGGTTTTTTTTCTATTTATTTTTTTTTTTTGTAAGAACAGAATCATAGTATGACATCCGTACCAAAGACGCGTCTGCGTATTGGTGTATTGGGTGCTGCGAGAGTGCTTCGAAAGACATGGGTTGCTATTCATGATGCAGGACATGAAATAACCGTGGTGGGTTGCCGAGATGTTTCCCGAGCACAAAAGTTTGTAGATGAATTGTCTGATTCAGTATCGTTTGTAAACAAACCTATCGTTGGTAGCTATGAGGATGTTGTGATGTCAAGAAATGTTGATATTGTGTACATTCCAATTCCAGCAGCGATCCGACATAAATGGGTCCTGCTATGTGCAGAGCATGGTAAACACGTGGTGTGTGAAAAACCTGCAGCTGCATCCTGTAAAGAACTTGAGGAGTGGCTTCAGCGTCTTGCTGCGAAAAGACTTTTATTCATAGATGGTACTATGCTCTCTCATGGGAAACGTGTCCATGATGTTCGTCATGCCATTGGAGAAATTGGAAAATTGCGTCGTATGGAAGCGCATTTTACTTTCTCCGCTTCTGATGATTTTATACAGAATGATATTCGATTAGATCCTGCACTTGAACCTATGGGAGCGCTTGGAGACCTTGGGTGGTATTGTGTACGCTACTTTCTTCACATGGTAGATTTTACTCTTCCTAGTGTGGCAATGGGACGTGTGGTGCAGCGTAGTGGTCCAAAAAATGGAATTTCCGCCTTCTCTGGTGATCTTCTCTTTACTGTGGACGGAGATCCTGTTTGGGCGTCATTTTTCTGTTCATTCCACTCCGCACATGAGCAACTTGTGCGTCTTCATGGTGATGATGGTATGATTACGGTCCATGGGGCTATTAATCCCACGGATGTGGAGGTGCCTACGTATACGATAGAGCGTGGCACACTTGCGTGGAGTGATGGTCTGCCGACATTCCAGCGAGAAGTGACGTCGCGGCGGTCAGCGGAGGACTGCAGTTTTCAAATGGTGCAGTTGTGGCGGGATGTCGCCGTGGCGTTAATGCGCGGGGAGTCGCTGGCGGCGATGGTGGTGCCGGAGAAGAGTGGCCCGTGGGCCCGCAGTGCGTGGGCAACGCAGCGGGTCTGTGAGGCCCTCCTGCAATCTGCACAGAGCAGCGCAGCGCGGGCAGCAGCGGCAATGGCAACAACAACAACAACAACAACAACAACAGCGGTTGGGATGGGCAGTGAGAAGGGAAATGAGGATACCACCAGTGTAAAGGTGGTGGAATCAGGCGTACGACCAACTACAACTACAACTACTACAGCAACAGCAACTACAGCTACAGCGACAACGACAACAGCAACACCATTGGTAGGGACAGTGGTAAGACCAGAAGCGCCAGTGCCAGTAATGCCGATGCCGCAAATACCAGCATTTGTAGCAAATAAAACGATGACCGCAGATGTGGAGGTGTGAGGGTTTTTCTTTTAGTATATATTGCATTTATTATTTATTTATATTTCGTTATCACTCTCTATAGAGAGGGAGAGAGGTGGGGTGGAGAGATTTACAAGAAAAAAAAAAAGATGTTCGTATCGGTATAGACATAATTTTTGATATTTCTTTATTCTTTTCTTTTCTTACTTTGTAATAATATTCTTTATTGTTTTAAACACAGAGTAAGACCATTTTAAAACAAGAAAAAAAAAAAGGTTTATCTTCACTATCAAGTAGAAATGACACAACCTATCCGTGTTGGACTCCTTGGTGCTTCTGCTATCGCTGGGAAGGTTTGGAGAGCTATTCAAGCCGCTGGTCTTGTTGTTACTGCAGTGGGAAGCCGAAATCCAAGTAAAGCTGAGACCTTTGTACAAGAATGCTCTACTGAACTTCATATTGATGTGGACAAAAGACCAAGGGTATGCACTTATGATGAGTTGGTAACATCTGATGATGTAGACATTGTTTACATCTCCATTCCTGTGATGGAACGTCTAACGTGGGTGATGAAATGTGCACATAATGGAAAGCATGTTGTTGGAGAAAAACCTCCGGCGGAAAATGCCGATGTTCTCCAAAGTTGGCTAGATCAGTTAAGAGTAAAGAAACTTTTATATATGGATGGTACAATGTTCTCTCATGGACCTTGGTTAAAGAAATTATTGCAAACAATCCCACGATGTGGATCTATCCGACGCCTAACAGCAACCCTTACATGGTATGCAGATGAGGAAAATCAGAAAACAAATATTCGTTTCAATCCCGCATTGGAAAATCTCGGTGCCCTAGGTGATTGTGGATGGTACTGTGTAAGAGCTATGCTGCATATCATGCAATTTCATATGCCCATATCCGCGGTTGGACGTATTTTGGAAACAAATGATAAAGGCGCTATCGTTGCCTTTTCAGGTGAACTTACATTTAATCTCGGTGCTGAAAATATTACAGGATTCTTTTATTGTGGCTTTAACAGTGCTGCACAGGCAGAGCTTACCATTTCTGGTACAACAGGAATCATTGAATCTCCAAATATTTACAACCCCATTACAAAACCTCCTGGACATGCTAGTTTTAAGTTTATTGATGCCTCTACCAAAGCATGTGGTACCAAACTGACTGTTAAACGTGATGAGGATATCATTGAAGTACCTGAAGAGGATGGATACTTCCAGGAGGCTGAAATGTGGCGTGATGTTGCGGCTTCTCTTTCGCCTGATGCCGAAGGAAGACTCGTCGCATCTGCAGAGGCAATCCAAAAGTGGGGTCGTATGTCCTGGATGACACAATTCGTTTTGGATAAACTCCTGGAGTCGGCTAGAATGCAGGTCTCATAAGAATAATGAACTAACAGAAAGGTGGGGAGGGTGGGGGAAAGAGAGAAAAAGAAAAAAAAAAGAATATATATATATAATAGTCGATCGTGTATTTATTTTTCATATTTTCATTCTTAAATTATTATGATAGGATATAGGTGGTGAAGAAGGGAGTTGGAGGTGATGTGAAAAAGAAAATAGGATTAGAACTGCTGCATCATCATTGTTTCAGTATATTGTTGAGTTTTTCGTTTGTTTGTTTTTTTTTTCTTAATATTATTGCTTTTTTTTTTATATATTTTCGTTTTATTTGTTCAACACGCAGTCTTTATCGAAATTGAAAAGGTATGGGTGTGGTGAAAAAAGGGGGTTTTGATGGGGGATGGGTAGTGAATAAAAAAAGATAAGTTACTCGCTGGTGAATCATTTTTTATCCCTCTGGATAGTTGGGATTCTCTTGCTAGTTTCCTCTTCTTCAGTTCTCTTCGTGATGAAATAACCCCTTAAATAAGAAGTTTGCAAACGCGTATGTGATGTTGTGAATGACATAAATAAATAAATAGAAATAAAGAAAAAATTACTTGTTTTACTTCTAAATTATTCTTTTTTACTTCAGTTTATTTCTGTAGTACAGACGTGTGTATATATTGTAGTGTACCTTTACTAGTTATATTTATGTGTTACTGAGAGAGAAAGAGAGAGAGAGAGTGTGTATATATATATATATATATATATATATATATATATATATATATACATTTGTACCCTATCTACTCGCTAAAATGCCAAAAAAACGAGTTGTGGTAAATCTATCTGAGAAATACGATAATATACGCATTCCTCGATCTCTGCTTCCTGCTGAGAATAATAATGTGTACACGGAACAGGTGATTCTCTACATATCGCCTCCATGTGTGGAAAATACCTCAGAATGGGATATGCAGCTCGATAACACTATTAATAGAAAGAAGGAGAAGAGGAATAATAATAGTAATAATAATGTGAACGAGGATGATATTATTTCTTCTTTTACTCCTGCTGAAAGATTCTCATCGTGGACCCCGGCACCGCTATTGGGTGAGCAGGATACAGCGAGAGCATCACTTACGTACATGGTGAAACCTCCACGCAGTCCCATCATGCGTGGGAGACTCTCACGTTCACCAAAATAGTTAGATATAGTTGTACTTTATTATTATTGTTGTTGATTTTTTTTCACTTGATTTATTCTATTTCAAACAAAATGTATATCAAATATATATATATATATATATATATATATATATTAGTACTCTTCATTCTTGTTTTTCTTATTTGTAAGCGTATATCTGCAGAATAATAGAAAAAGAAAAAGAAAAAAAGAAAAGGAAGAGTATAGTTGAATGGAAGAGTGTCCTGACGCCGGCAGTTCACCTTCCAGTGCCACGGCAGTCTTCATTCGCGAAGAGAACAGCACCACCGCAGGGTTTGTGCCTATTCGCTTTAACGGCAACATCACTGTACGTGAGCTGGCGGAGGAGTATTGTATTACCAGTCTGATAGAGTGTGATGCCACCGGCTCTGTGCAGCCACGGGCCGTCGCGTTAGACTCCCCATTCGATATTCTGCACGGCGGGAAATATTATATCGCTAGACGTGATGTGAAGGAAGTGGGACTCTCGCCGCGGGTGACGTTTCGGGGAAAGATTATAGTAGAAGAGTTTGATGCGGATCATGCAGTGGCTGCGAGAGAAAATGATGAGAACACTTTACATTCAACAGTACCAGCAGCTGCAGAAACATCAACAACAACATCAATGATGATGATGTCAGGCAATTCTGTGAAGAAAATGGGAATGACACGGAAGCGACGTGAGCGCGATGATGATGATGATGATTGGAATGATGGAATGGGAGAAGGAGTAGGAGAAAAAGGAAAAGATGAGGATAAAAGTGATGAGAATATTAACGGGAATACACATATGTTTGTTCCTTTTGTGGGTGATCTTTATGATGATGGAAATGAGCGACTCATTCAACTTAAAGATGTGAAGAGACTTTGTGAAAATGTAGAGAGTGATGAGGCGGAGTTCAGAGCCCGACATGATAGAGCGGAAACTATTTTAAAAGAAGTGAAAGAATTACTTGTAGCCCTTGCGAATGCTAGTAATGTCTCTGTTGAAGATGAGCCAGGTCTATAATTCTCTTTCTTTCTTTTCCTTTGAAAGGGGCGTAAACATCCAAAGAAGTTTTCATGTTTTTTTATATATTCTCTTTATGGTGTTTTTTTTTTTCTTCTTCTTTCCCGCACCGTGAGATTCTATTCGTTATGAACTTCTAGTTGATATTTAATGATGAAAGAGTCGCCATAAATCTTTTTGTTTTGTTTTTATTTGTATCATAGAATAGAGTTTCTCTCAGCTATTAGATAAACATGATGATGTTTATCACTTGTGTAAACTTGTTTTATTTTTTTTCTTGTTTTGCTGTTGTTGGCGCTATTTTGTTTTTTATTATTCTACTTTCATTGTATCTGTATCTGTGTTTTATTTATTTATATTTTATTATTATGTTGGGCAGATGGGGAGATTCCTCTCTCTTTGTTTTCTCTCTCTCTCTCTCTCTCTCTCTCTCTCTCTCTCTATATATATATATATATATATATCACTCTGAGTATGAGTTGCAGGAAGTAGAGGATGGATATTCTCTCCTCTTCCAAACTCCTTCGCTCACGCTACAGTGAGTGTGTTCCCCTCTTTCATCCAGAAACATTAGCCGCCACTACTGCAGCCCGAACAAAAACAGAACGGGGATCCACAATATATAGAGATGTAAACTCTCATGCGTTAAAGAGAGGCGATATTGCGTTTCTCTCTTCTGTGCAAACACCATCAGAGGTGTATCTTGCTTTGGCGTGTGTGGCCCGTTATCGTGATACTACAATGTTGAGTGAATGTGAAAGAATGCTTGTATTTGTGCCGTATGATATCCCACGAGATGAGATATTTGTAGAAATGCCTATTCTTGCCTTTAAAGAAGGGAAAGATCCCACACGAGGTGAAGGACTGCAGTTGATGGTATTGAATGAATATACATTATTATGTTTTCGTACTAAAGATGGACTCCCACCACGTAAAGGATTATTTATTACATTTCGAACCACAAAGGCACAAGAACTTTTTCAGAATGCCGTGGATCAACTCATTCGTTATCATGATAAGGAAAGTTTATTCCATAATAAATCTCCACCTGTAAAGAGTCTAAATCGTATGGGACCAACAAGAGAAGAATATATAAGAGCAGGAACACCGACGTCTGGTGCGATTATACCTCGTGGTTCTGTATACACAACCATGCAAGAAAGAGAATGGCCAAAAGAAGAAAAGAGAGAAGAAAAAGAAAAAAAAGAGGGAAAAAAAGAAATGGAAGAAGATCGTGGGGCAATGTCTCTTATCAATAATCTTTTAAGAGATCGTGAGAGACGCCGAGAGGCCTACATGGCGAGTATAGGTAAACCAACACATCCACAGCCGTATTTAACAGGACTAACACCATCAACATCAACAAAGACAACATCTTTTCTCAAACGAGAAGATAACAATATCGAATTTAGTGAATGGGCCCAACAACACCAGAAATTAAACCCAACCGCATGGAAAATGCTTGCTGGTGCTGCTGAATCTCAAATGATGTCGGAATGTCAAACCGCAAAAGATAAGGATGGTGTTATCCAACAATCTCATGGATTCCCTAACTCAGATGCGGTTTTCTCTCCATACAATAATGTACCCAGTCTTCAGGCCCGCGAGGATCTTCTGCTGGAGATACGAGCTGCAATGGAGGCAGTTGATAAGATGAATGAAGCCCAGGGACGTGGTGGAGTTAGTTTACTTGGATCAGCTCGGGAGTTTATTCGTCAACACCAAGAGGAACTTTGGCGACTTGAGCAGGGAGAAAATAAATTACATCCGTCTCCTCCTCCATTATTTGATTTTAAACACATGGACACTCGCTCCCCATCAGCACCAACCGTTTTGCTGCAGAAGCAGAAAGAACAAGAAGAAGAAGAAAAGCGAAGACCAACAGTAAGTGAAGTATCCAAAGAGTCCTTACGTCCTAGTATATCACCGTCAGCATTACAGGCGTTTGAGAATATTATTCCAAAGCCAGAACAACAACAACAACAACAAACTGTAATAGAAACAATAGGTACAGTAAAAGATATTGTTACTACTACACCGATAATATCTTCAGAGTCATTGTCTCTGGATAGACACCCTGTAGAGTCTGTTGTATCTATGCAAGGGCCGCAAGTCAAGTTTCAGGAGGAACTCCAAGTTGCACGTGAAACAGAGTCACGTATCTTATCTACATTGCATAAAGCTCCACCAAAGATAATGGGTAACAAACGAATGTTTGGCACCAACCCAAAGGTTTCTACATCTCTGCAACCCGCACCTATCACTCCAGTAGTAAAAGGCGTAGAAAATGGAAATGGTGATAGGAATGGGAATACAACTTCTTCCTTTACAGTAGACGGTGCGATAGCTTCATCGGTGCAGCCGGGCACTAATAACAAAGATGCTTCTGATGTAACTTCTGCAGAGCCTATCCCTCCAGTGGTAGAGGAGGAGAAAAAAAAAAAAGAAGAAGAAGAAGAGATTCCACGCTGTGGTGAGGGTTGGAAGACTGTACGTGATCCGGCGAGTGGTAAACATTACTTTGTTCATACTCTAACAAAGCGTACTACATGGAATATTTCAGATACATTTAAACCCAATTCCTCCAATGAAGAGCAGAAACAGGAGGAGAAAGATACTGTTAAGGAGAAATCAAAGTGTGGTACTGGTTGGCGTGCGGTGTTGGATCCAGGTACTGGTCGTACCTATTATGTGCATAAGATAACAAAGTCGACAACATGGAAAGTAGAGGATACATTTGAGGAGAAAAAGAATACCTCTAACGGTGATAATAAAACCACAGAGAAGCAAAAACCTATCAAGACATCATCATCATCATCAAGTGTATGGGGAGAACGACAAGATCCCTCTACAGGGAAAGTGTATTATTATAATAAGAAAACAAAGCAAACGACGTGGAAGAGGTCAGAGACTGATTTGGATACGGCGTAATCACTACAAGGAATATTAACCATTTATGAATTAAACCTCCATGGTTTTATTTCTTTTTTTTTAGATTTTTTTGTTATTATTGTTGTTGTTATTTTTTCGTTTGCTTTTCAAACCTCCTCTTCCAGATACACATACACATACACTCAAACACGGAAAAAGTTGAAGTTATATAGTACGGAGTAAAAATAGAGGGAAAAAAGTGGGATAAAGTTTCGTTCTTGTAGTACAGTTTTTTTTTTTTTTGATTTGGATTACTATTACTTTTCTACTGGTTGTTATGATAATAATATTCTTCTCGTGGTTTCTTTCTTTCTTTTCTTTTTTTCTTAGTTGTATAGTGTAGTAGAGATAATGGATATTCTACGTAAAATCCTGGTAGTGCAACTTTCGCGTGTTGCGACGACTGTCAATGATGATGCCACAGAATTAGTACATTCATGGCAACCTTTGCAGTTTAGACTTTCCATAACTTTCTCTAATGAAAATGGAGAACACTCCCGTGATGGTGGTGCGTTAATGGCAAGAATGGGGGAAAGTGATTTTGCCTCCTTGTGGCGTAAACTCTTTCACACGGTGCGTATTGTACCTGTTGTGGTCCAATCACAGTCATCAGAGTTGTCAAATGAGGATAAAGGGGCATCTATACAATGGCCACAGGAACAAGAAAGAGAAGAAAAAGAAGAAAAGGGAGAAGAGAAAAAAATAAAGGAACATGAAAAAGAGGAATCTAGAGGAGATAAATTCTTTTCTTTTGGAACTCCACCGTTTTGGAGTACTACCTCATCTCCTATGGAGAGAAATAGTGCCTTTTCCTCCTCTTCCACCTCCTCTGGGTTAACCGTCGTAGCTGGAAAGATTCTTACCGTAGTAGAAGGACCTGATAGTAATATAGCTATTCAAGAATCTTTATCCTCTATCTCTAGTGAACATTCTACAGATTTAAAGAAAACGATTCCTAGTTGTATAACTTCTGTGTATAACTTTAATCATACCCTACCAGATTTAGAGAATTATAATGAAACTGTTACTATTGGTTATGTACTACTACTTCCTCTCCTAAGTGAAAAAGAATCCCCTAATGAAAAGGAAAAGGAGAAGAAAAATAAAAAGGATAATATTATTCTTCGTGCATTAATAGCATCAGAAGAACAATCCATGATCTGGTATAGACCTTCATCTATAGTATTGGGAACTTGTTATTATCGAATGCCAGTTGGTAAAGTTCTACAGTGTACTTCTACCGCGCGACATACAGCACATTTATCTGTTTTAGTAAATGTTAACGTAATGAATATTATTTCTGTTCCTATTTGTATACAAAAAGCATCTTTTGATATATTTTCTACCTGGATTGGAGATACTCTCGGTAGTCTTTCAAGTGTTCCTTTGTGTTCTGAACAACGAGCTGCCCCACGGGGTGCAGATTTGAAAGCTTTGGAATTATTACGTCAAGCTGTCATGGTAACTCCTATAGTAGTAGATGATTTTAGTATTCCTGTACTTTTGGAACCTGGAGAATCTGTGGGTTTTCAATTTTCTATTCGAGTTCAACCTCATATGTGTTATTTACTTGAATCTCATTCACTTTTAGAATTATATGGTAAATTTGTAAAGAGTCCTCCAAAGGAAGTGGCAGAATTTGATACTAAAACTTCTTCTTCAAAACCATCAGTTACAAATGTCTCTTCCCCTTCTCAATCTATTGCGGCAACGGCAATTGTTTCCCCACCAGAGAGAGTTTCTCGGGATGAACTTCTTCAGGTATTATCATGGAGTTTTACTTCTCATGTTTATGTCTATTACAATATTATGTCTTCAAGAAAAGATGCATGTTATTCTATATCAAAACAAGGGGATGGAGTAGATACTCAATCTGGACTTCATCTTCGTCATCCTGTGCGTTGGTCTATGCTTCTACCATAACATTGCTGTGTTTTAGGTTCTTTTTTTATTCATTTATTTACTTGTCTCTGGGAGAGTTTTGAAAATACATTTAATACCCGAGAAGATTTTTTTTTCTTTTAGTTTTTCGTGTGCTTATTTCTTTTTTTTGCTATCTAGTGGAATATATATATATATATATATATATATGAACAAAATGTATTTTTCTCTCTCTTTTTTTTTTTTAGAGATTTTTTTATTTTTAAGAAAGGAAATAAAAGGGATTCATTAAGAGGGCTTATTTGTTCCATTAGTGTCAACTCCTGAAATTAGTTAACTAGATTAAACTTTTTTTTGTTATCACAATTAATTGATTCTTTTTTTATTTTTAATAATGCAGGTTACCAGAGATAATTTTCCTGCAATATTTCCAAAGTTTGTGGAGTTGTTGCAAACCTGTGATTTTTACTCCTTTGATGAGGAAATGACAGGTATTAACACACCAGAGTTACCAGAAAGTATGACAGATTCACCTGAAGAGAGTTATCGGGCCAAATGTACTGTAGCTAGTCGATATAATATTATTCAAGTTGGAATATGTCTTTTTCATAAGGATAATAAGAATAGTAAATCTACACCTACGCAGTATATTGCTCGTCCTTTTAATTTTATTCTCTTTCCTAATCATTCAGATGACTTTACAATTGAAGAAAGGTCTAGAGATGTGGTATTAAGTCCTTCTTCACTTGCATTTCTTCGTCGGCATGATATGAATTTTCAATCTTGGATTTATTATGGTATAGCGTATTGTGATAAGGTACAAGAAGAAGCATTACGAAAAAAACACCAGGAAAGGTATAAGGAATTATCTCAAAATAATAATAATAATAATAATAATAATAATAATAAGGATCAAGGTATAGATATTATGACTGAAGAAGAAAAAAAATGGTTTGATAACGCTGTGTCTACGGTTCGTACTTTTTCTGATCGAATACAAGATACATTAAATCGAGTCAAAGAAAAAAATAAAGATTTTCCATTAAGTAAAATAGAATTAGCTGCTACAATGGATCTTTTACAATCTAGTGGACGAGAAATTTTTCTTACACCTGTAAAAAGTAAAACTGTTCGTGAATATTTTAAACAATATGTTGAAAAACATTTTAATAATGTTTTAATTTCTTTTAGACGACAAGGTTCATCTTTTACCGGAATTGTTCGCGCTATATTTCCTGAGGAACGTGCTCGTTTAGAAAAAAAAGAGGAAAATTTTAAAAAGCGTGAACTAACAGATATGTTGGGTTTTCGTTTAATTTTTAAAGCTCTTGTAGAAAGTGAAAAACCTTGTGTGGGTCATAATTGTTTTGCAGATATCCTTTTTTTATTTGCATCTTTGGAAAGTTCATTACCTGATACTTTACCAGAATTTAAAGAGCGTTTGGGAAAAATGTTTCCTATTATTTTTGATACTCGGTATATTGCAAGTCGTCAAGATTATTTTCCTCTAGGACGGTTTGGATCTCGTTACTTGGGTGGTTTCTTTGAAGAATATGGATTTAATTCAGCCAATATACAAGTAAAACTTCCTTTGGGATTTGAGGCATATGATGCTATGACGACTGAAAAAGGAGAACGAAATAGCAGCAGCAGTGGTAGTAGTAGTGGCAACAACAACAAGAACAATAATGGATTAACACATGAAGCGGGATATGATGCTTTATTAACAGGTACATTATTACTTAATCTACTTGCAGAAATGGGAGGATATGATGTAGCAACCGCTCCGAAAAACGTTATAAATCGTGTAGCCTTATTTCGTTCCCTTTACGCATTGCGTCTTGATGATTTGAAGGAAGATGAATACCTTCCTGAAAATGGGGTTTTGGAACTTCGACATGAGAAAAATATAAAAGTTCATCATATTGAATCCTGTTTTTTAACATTATCGTTTCAAAATGTTTCACTTTACACAATTGACGAAACCCGAACCTTGGCAGTACTTCCGTCTTCATGGTCTAAATCACCTACTTTGGTTGGAGAAAATAAAGATGCCAAATGGCTTTCTACATTCATCACGTCACGTTTTCCACAGTATTTTGAGGCATCTTTGTACGACCCTGCCCGAAACAAACCGGGAATGGGCGTCGGCCCCTTCCGAACGACACCCAAAGCTTTGATGCGGGCGGCATTGAAAGCGGCCCTGCGTTGACACGGGTTCGGGGTGGGAAAGACGGCATTGGGGCAAACGGAGAAGGAAAAAAAAAAAAAAAAAAGA